GCCTCTGCCTTGTGGCTATTCTGAAAGTTCTGTTTGACTCTGGTTTACTCTGTTCTCTCACTTATTAAAGGACTATTAATCCACCACATTGATATAAAAAGACCACGTAGGGCTGGGTATGGTGTCTCACACCTGTATTCCAGCACTGGGAAGGTGGAGGTAGGGGGGTCAGGAGTTCAGGGCCATCCATCTTCAACCACCATAACAAGGGCAAGGCCAGTCAGACTACCTAAGATCCCGTCTCAAGGAAAACAAAATAACATCATGTGAGAAACACGTTTTAGGAGGTGGAGATGAAATTTCTTGTGTAGGACACATCAGATGTTCCCTCCGGTCTGCCTGCCATAGAAATCCCACAAGGTTGGGTTTCTAGGCTGAGAAACATGGGCTTTGGTAAATGTGTTCCTTGGGAAGTTGTTTGTGGTTTTCAGGGTCAGTCATGTTCAACCTAGCCTGCAGGAAGTTCTTTCCCTAATCACTTGAATTAATGGACCCACAGTCCAGTCTCTTCTTGCTTCCTCCTGTTCCAAATGTCCAAGCCAAAGTATTTGCCTGTTTATTGCCTTGAGGCTTGGCGTATATGATACTTTTTTGGTCCCTGGCCTATGGCCCAAATGCCACTAACCTTGGCTCTACCAGTGTGTACAAGTTGCTCATAAACCAAATCAAGACATGAACAGCTGGATTCTTATTTTAAAGGAGTCATGTGATGGGGGAGCATCAGCTTTCAGGCCTTTGCTTTGCATTGGGATCTGGTCTATGGTTTGCTCATGTAGAACCGGGTGGTGATTAGGGTTTGAGCCAGATACACAGATAGGCACTCACGTGGCCACAGTACAGAGTGACCTCACTGCCTAACTCGTGTTTCCAGGAGGTTGGGAAAGTCGGGCTTGCCAAAGGACCTTGTCCTTGGATTGTGGGGGTGTGAGTAATAAATAATGACTTGAATTTCAAAACAGGCAGGCAGCTGCTCAAGGGGCACCTGGACAATGTCGTTTATTTGCTGAAGATGGGACAGTTTGACCAGTGAACCAATTAAACAGATAAAGTTAGGGCTCCTCCTATCTCAAAGAAGATCAAAGGCAGAGAAGTTGCTAAGGCTTCCACTGCCCTCAGTACCTACCCAGAGGGCTCCAGGGTCTCTTTCTTTCGGCCCCCTGTGCTGCTTAAATCCCTTTTTATTTTTGAGATGGGCTGTTAGGTATCCCAGGCAGACCTGTAACTTGCTATGTAGCCAAAAAGAACCTTGAGCTTCTGATCCTCCTGCCCTTACCCTCCCCCAAGAGCTGAGCTCACAGGTATGCATTCCTACACCTTGTTTATGGGGTGCTGGGGATCAAACACAGGACCTCACACCTGCTAGGCCAGCACTGCCCGCTGAGCGGTATCCCCAGCCCCTCAGCTCTGTCTTTCTGTTTGCCAGGCTGCTTCTCACTGTCTCAGCCTGTAAACTCTGGCTGCTGGTTCAGAGGAGCAGGGTTGAGTCTAACGTTCATCCCAGTCCTACTTTGGTCTGGGACAAAGCAATCATCTATATAATTGGAAGACATTATTAATAGGTATATCAGAGCAGAGCTTTTTTTTTTTTTTTTCTGGGTCACTTCAGGACAGTTCCCATCGGCTCCTGAAAAAGTGTATTCTGCTAGCAGGCTATTTGCACAGAACTTAATGAGATGTTAACAGAGTATAATGGAAACTGAATCTCATTCACAGGTTGTCCCATTCTCTGTAGACAGACTTCACTGAGCAAATACAATGGAGACTTTGGACATCAGGAACTGAACAAAACCAGGGTATAATTTGTTTTGTAAAGATTCATAATCACAAACTCACTGGTGTGTCGACTCAGTCGCCCATTTGTCGATGAAGTTTGTCTATTTGAAACAGCTGTTTCTCCCTTCCACCAGCTCTTTAAAACCAGAACCTCGGGTTTCAGATGTAAAATTAAGGAACATTTGAGGATTGCAGCCATCCTGCCCACAGTTAGACACCCAGATGAATGCGTTCTCAGGGAGTATGGCTCTTTCTGGTTTCTCACTGCCCAGTGCCCTCTTCTTCCCAGAGACTAGTTTTCCAGTAAGTGCTCTGCCACGTTAAGCCTTCATCATCCAAGTGTTGGGACTCTCCATTTGAGAAACTCACAACTTCCGTCCTTGGGGAGTTTAGTTAGCATGCCTCCCCTCCTCTATGCCTTTCTCCTCTGGACTATTTTTCTTCTGCCAGGCAGGGAAGACGGTTGATGACACGGGCTGAGAAGGGTGCCCGTGGGTAGGTACAGCCCTGGGGGCTGAGGTGCAGGCCCAGGAGGGTGCCCGTGGGTAGGTACAGCCCTGGGGGCTGAGGTGCAGGCCCGGGAGGGTGCCCGTGGGTAGGTACAGCCCTGGGGGTGAGGGATGTTGTTGACTTGGAGCCCCAGGCTCCTCAAGAGAAGCCTGGAGAACAGAGCAGTCAGTGCAGCCCAGATCTGGCTTTTACCAGTCCTGTGACCTCAGCCAAAGACTTTAGACATTTGCTTCTGTGTAAATGGGGATTGTAGAGAAGACCGAGATATCATAGTAACGCCTTGGTCACGATGCCTTGAGCATAGTGAGCATTCAGCATACATTGTGTTATTACTGTGGTCAAATCGTTTTCTTGCTGAAACGTTACTTGCTGTGTTCACTGGCATGGAATAGGTTCTAGCCCGCTTTGGTAACAAAATGGGCTGTTCTGGATTGGGATGTTGCTCAGGACTAGAGTGCTGCCTAATGTGCAAGGCCCTGAGTTGCACACACACACACATACACACATACATACATACACACAGACACATACACACACACACATATACATACATACACACATACATACACACATACATACATACATACACACAGACACATACATACACACACACATATACATACATA